CTGAGCAAAAGCACATGATACAATAGGCAAATCACGTTCAGCAAAGCACGCAACCAGCAAGTGGCATCACTTACTCAGCCTGTTTTGGGAATCCACAAAACGTAGATAAGAAAGATGTAAACACATCCTTCACTTGCACAGTCATGCAACATGCTGTAGCCATCTGGCTGCTTTACTAAAAAATAATAGGAAAATTTAAATGTGGTGAAATGGCACTGCAAACATGCTGACCTTGCACAAGGCTGGAAGCATGACAAGTGCATGTAGTTATGGTTGGATGGGCAAAATGCAAGGAAGCCATGAAGCTGCCAGTGCTTGCAAGGCTCCTGATAAAAATATTACAAAGTGCTATCCAAGAAACCAACAGCAATACTTTTCCACCTTTCTTAACACCCAGCATCTCACACAAGTCGCAGTGACTATGGCATTGTGCTCGCCTGCATAAAAAATTGGTGAAGACAGCACAATGTGCATCAGTTATAACACAGCTCTTTATTTTCAGAATTATTTAGTGAAAGGCAATTTTGCAAAGCCATATAATGTGAGCCTGTACTGAGCATGTGCATTAATGAGCTGAACGCACCAGCCCCTACTGCCAAAAGGGATTGCTGGCATCATGACACCCAATAGATTAATTACATGCTGTAATACCTCAGTAGGTTCAAAACGTCGGCAAGATCATAATGAAGTACCAGTTTGCCTTTGTACATAGTGTGCTAGTACAATATAGTGCTAACTGTACAACATAGTGCTAGTGCTTCTCTTAGTTTGTCAGCGTTCCTTAGTCATGTCCAAACACGTCTTCTTTTTAATAACTTTCGGGAGAGTGCCCGTTTTTTAGGTGTCGTACTTTTTTGCAGACAGTGGCGTTCTTTTTTATGGCATATCATCTTCCGTGCATTGTATCATATGTGCCGCATCATAGTTTTTGCGAATGTACCAGCGGCCATGCTATTTTGACCACAAGCAGAAAACAGCCTGTAGCATGACCGCAATCGCATGACGTTTCTATGACGTCATCAATGCCGAGGCAACTTTGAAATTGGCTCCAAATAAACCTTTTCGCACTTTTTTCGGCGTGTAACTCAGGAAGCAGATCGTTTTGGCTCTTAAAAATGACATAACCGTGAACTGCATCAAAAGACCCTCAAGATGGCTGTTTCACTTCAAAACGATAAACAAATGTGGAACCTACCCTTTAAGGTGCCCTGCCCGCAATGCCGGGCCCTCAAATGCTAGTCAGGGGCTCTTTACGTTGATTGGGGGTGCCCTGAGTCAAGAAGGGCCTCTATGTCGGCCACGCACCACCAGTAACGAGCAGTCGGGTCCGTGTCGGTCTGACCTACCCCTGGGGACCCATTTTCCAATCAGGGATAAGGACAGTGCCTGATATTTGCATGAGCCCCCGAGACGATGAGGGGCGCCTGTGTCGGTCGTGGCTCACGGTGCCTAATGGGAATTCCTGCGTCAGCAGGGGGCCCCGAGCCGTTCAGTAAAACATTTGCTGAAAAGGGACATGGATGGGATCCCGAATGCCAGAGGGCCGCCCGCGTTGGTGGGGTTTCCTCTGTCAGTGGAAGAAGACGTGACAACTTACAACCTGCGTCCACAATGAGAATAGAATGGCCCTGTGTTAGTCAGGGGCCCCAATACTTCCACCCTATTTCAGGAAAGGTCACGTGCCTCCTAGTCTTTTACCAACGGGGTCCTTTGTCCGGAGGAGGTAAGGTACCGTTCAGCGGTCAATGGGCTGCCTAAAAATGAGGTCCAAAATAAACGTGACGATCCCTGTTTGTCCCAGGATGCTCATCCTATTGACGAATCGACTCGTGAAGCAAGTAACAGGAAGGGATTTTGAGCCTGCGCGCCCGTAACCTTAGGATCGAGACCGCTGACGGTCGGGGATGTAGTTCACATCAAACCGAGCGGAATGGGCCTCGGGACCTAACACCAGGCGGCGGTTGCCGTGCGTGCGAGAGCAACCGTCTTGAAGTAATGTTTCCGAAAAAGTCTTGCTTCATGGTAGCCATAAAGTCTTTCAAAATAAATCCGTACAGCTTAAAGATTAGACTGGGAGCATATTTCACCCGTATGATTTGTAGAATGTTCGCTGGACAGACTGGCAGCTACAGCAACAGGGACATTGAAGATAAGTACTTTGCCTTTTCAATTTCCTCACCAGATTCCAGCACCAGTCCCCCGGTGCTGTAAATGCCAATGTATTCCTATGATCACTGTAAAGATAGCACAACTGAAATGAGTGCCCGGACTACGTTGTAAACCGAGGCGTCACTGTAAATCCTTAGGGGGAGGGCTGTACACCCCCTGGCTGACTTGAGATCCCTCAATGCACCAGGAGTCCCTCAATGTTTATGACCAAACAGGGAATGCTGGGTCAGAAAATTGCGGATCAATTATCTAACCATTGGCACAGTAGACACCTAGATGCATCACTATTAGGATCATGCTCATTTGACACCGAATATTGTTCCGCAGCTACCTTATGTTTTTGTCGCGTCATGCCTTTCATTTGTCAGGCCTTTGGACAAAGGGACAAAGATGCGACAAGTTTTGCACGTGATGACACCTGGAAGGTGATAGAGAACAAAGGACGGCAAAATGCGGCAGCTTTAAAAATGGAGGACAGCTAAGCAAAAATTCACCATGATTCTCTAAAAGGCGTAAGGATATTTGTCGCACAATCGTGACTGGTAGCATTTGCCGCCAATGGAATGACAATACGTGGTCGGCGACAGCGGTAGTCATCAGTGATTCCATACCCGTCAAATCGTGACAAGAACAGGTGCTCCAGATGAGTCCCTGGCGGCCCAGGATGCGCAACAGGTGGACCTGCTGCAGGTAATCGGTTGTCCGGTCCATTGTCCAGCAGAAATAAGTCATAGCTGCCTGGAGGGGTATATCAAGCTGGTATCTTCTGTAGAATTATGACTTGACAAATGCGAGATGTTTGACGACTACCATCATATTTCATCACCTTTTGCTATTGAATGGAAGTTGAACGCCACTGCAGTCTTGGTTATGTGAGAAATGCATTCGTAACTACTGAGTTCAAGGAAATTCCGCACCTTTAGGGCTTTTTGTTTCCCAAAAACGTACTCTGATGAAACCTCAGAATCAGTAAGGTCTTTTAACACTTAGTAGTGCCACCACATCGCCATCGAGACAAAGAGACAAATTTGTAACCTGTACAAACGTGTTGCTGGACAAATTTGTACATATTGTAAGGAGACCAATCTGAATTATTTTCGAGTCCAATTCACGATTTCAACGCTTTGTAATAGCATAAGACATCTTCTTTTTTCGTAACCGCACCGTGCATCCTCGAAGAATCCGCGATAACTGCAGTTGACGCAACCGCTGTCGTCATGACGACGGCAGAATCTGCTGAGGGCCGATGTCAGCTGTTACGGGTTGGGGTACCACTTCAAAGTTGTTTTATCCACACACTGCGGATAGTTAGTTGATAGTTTGTTGATAGATAGTTGATTTCCTAAAGCGTCCAAAGGTACCTCGTTTACATGCGCCACTGTTTGCGTCGGCCAGGTGACCCCCGCTTAGTATTAGACGAGAGGTCAAGACCGTACAGCCCGTGCAGACTGCAACGCTGGACGATGGTGTTTGGGCTTTTAAGACTTGTGAGCGTGCATGTTCGTATTACCTTACATAGCTTATTCTCTACTCAGTTCTGAAGGGGAGGGGGATGGAACATCTCCAGACGAACATGAGATGGCCATGTTGATGCAAAATGTTTGCCCCATTTCGATCTACAATGTGCGTTAACTGGTTCTCATTATATCTGAAGGAACCCAGAAAATTTCCGTCAAAACTCCTGAGTGCTATCGTTTTCGAAAGAGTCCACTGCGCAATTGTAAAACGGAAAATGACGATGGTTATTTCATACGGTCATTTGTTTAACGCTTAGTTCCTTCATTTTATTGACTTCAAAATAGCAACAGCATGCCATCTTTTGATTACATCTGGCTTCTGTGGACAATAAAACGCAAAAAAACAATGAAACGAAGAAAATCGTGGTCCTCAAATTCAAATATCTAGAATATCTGAGATTTTATTTTTGGGGACGTTCACCATCTCGATGCCTTTTACCAAACCTATGCCCCTCCCCCCCCCCCCCCCTCCACACACACACACACACCTTACCAAGACTGGCTGCACTGCTCTGATGCATCGGACAGCCTGTGTAGCTAAGCTCACGTCGACGCGCTCAACAAACGGAATCGCTCCATTCACACATCCCCATCGCCTCTCAGTGTGTATCCGACTCTAAATACCTTAAGCAGTGTTTACACCTGCGCTCCGTGAGTCGAAGTCTCGCGCCGAACTCAGCGCCTGCGTCACACTCGCCGCCTGAATCACCGCGCCGACGTCACACTTGCTGCTCGAGACTCTGTCGTGACGTCACTCACACCTGCTGCCGGAGAACGCATCATGGCATTGCTGATGTCGTCCGGGCACACCCTAGCGATGTCACAACTGCTGTATCGTCAGTCTCCCGCAGCAGCTATGAAAGCTGCCAAGTGTTTCCATCTCTCCGTACCCGGTCCGCCGCGCCTGGCACCGTTGACGCGAGCATCACAGCCGCCACCGGCTATGCACGCAACGGCGCCATCGCACCCAGTCTCGCCGCAGACGCGTCCGGGCCCCTGCTGCCGTTCAGATGCCTTAGCGGCACACCCGGAAACGGCACGCCTCCCCCCTCCTCCCACGCACACGTGCGACGTGAGCTGCTGCGCGTCCGGCGTCCGCAAACACCCAGCTCCGACCGATCGTCACCAGCGGCGCCACCCGACCGACAGCCATTCTTCTCAATCGAATCTGGGCGGCGAGCGGCGCGCCGGGACCCGTTCCGTTTGCATCTGGCTTGTTTTCCAGCGGGGCCGCGAAGGCGTGCCGGCGATCGATCGCCGCCGGTGGCGCCGCCGCCGGGAGGCTGGCGCACTAGCCGGCAGTCGCCGCGCCGTCCCGAGAGCGGTGGCCGTGTCCGCGGTGCTGCGCGCGTGGCGGCCCGTGGCGCCGCGGCTCTCACCACCATGGATACAGCTCTTCGGTGAGTGTCCCGGCCGGACCGGTCCGCAGCCGGAGCGTGCCAGAGTCAGGAGCGACTGCACGCACGCCACAGGCATCGCTGGAGGTCGCGTCCTGGATGAGGGCTTTGCTCCACCCTCTTGGGGCAATTCTGAACCATGGAACATTGTACATAATTTGTTTTAGAGCAAACGTATGATCGACTTGCCTAGTGGATCACTTTTATAGCACTTGCGGTGTCATGCAGACGTCATCCGTTGCAGTGTCATGCAGAGGCCATCCGTTGTAGTGTCGTGAGGCCACCCGTTGTGTCATGCAGAGGCCATCCGTTGCAGTGTCATGCAGAGGCCATCCGTTGCAGTGTCATGCAGAGGCCATCCGTTGCGGAGTGATCAGTCCTCAGGTCAAATTCACTCGTTACGTATGCTTGCGGCGTATAAGCATCAGGCCGCAGAACTGTGCATGCATTTTCGATGTATTTAAAATAAGTTTAGTGTAACAGATTCGATTGCAGATCGGTTAACCGTGTCCTTAGTAGCTTGCGCACACTGCGAAAGCCTTATTTCCAGCCAAGGGGAAGCATGGCACGGGACGCCTGACGGATCGCTGGTCTGTCCACGCGGCCAGTGGCCGACGCCTGACGGATCGCTGGTCTGTCCACGCGGCCAGTGGCCGATGACTGACGGATCGCTGGTCTGTCCACGCGGCCAGTGGCCGATGACTGACGGAGCGCTGGTCTGTCCACGCGGCCAGTGGCCGACGCCTGACGGATCGCTGGTCTGTCCACGCGGCCAGTGGCAGATGACTGACCGATCGCTGGTCTGTCCACGCGGCCAGTGGCCGATGACTGACGGACCGCTGGTCTGTCCACGCGGCCAGTGGCCGATGACTGACGGATCGCTGGTCCTGTCCACGCCGCCAGTGGCCAACGACTGACGGATCGCTGGTCTGTCCACGCGGCCAGTGGCCGATGACTGACGGATCGCTGGTCTGTCCACGCGGCCAGTGGCCGACGACGGACGGATCGCTGGCCTGTCCACACGGCCAGTGGCCGATGACTGACGGATCGCTGGTCTGTCCACGCCGCCAGCGGCCGATGCCCAACGGCATGGTCCACACCCGATTCCGTAGCAAACTTTTATACTTATTTGACATGGTGAGAGTAGGCTAGAGCTGGCTGCAGACATTCCAGGCGGTGTAAGGCAAGAGTGGACGGTGAGAGCACAGGTGAGGAGGTGTGCTGGTGGTACGAATGCACAGTGCCGTAGTCGAAAAAGAAAGGACAGGAAACTTGCATGACAAGACGCAAATGGTAGTGAGTACTATGCCTCAAACATGGTGTGGGACAGTCCAACAAATGTTAATGGATATAGTGCGTGGGCTCCTTCAAATGGGTGTCGGTAAATGCAGTCATTGGATGCCATCAGTGGGGTTCGAGGACACTGGTTGTCCTGATTGCTCGGCACATCTGCATATGGCTGCCACGAGCCGTGCAGTTTATTTCCGGGCGTCGCCGTAGCATTTTCACGTGGTTTCGTAAATAATGAACTAAAGCTCGCTTGCGCGTGCTAGCTGTGATATTGCATAAGACCAGCCTGTTGATGAGTCGATTTCCACAGAACGCGTTAAAAAACCCTTAAGTCGGACGAAATTAGCGTCACGCAAGTCAGCACGAATTGTATTATACTCCGTTACGCAAAACGAAGTAAGCATTTGAGCGTCACCTTTTCTCGTCATGAATCTTGATTTAAATCAGAACGGAAACAGTTGATGAATGAAAACGCCTCATGGTCTTTGTTCGATAAGAACGTTTCACCGCCATAAACCAGCATCCCCACATGACTGATAACGTTATCAGGAATTTTTTGGGCAAGGTGCATTGTTTGAGGAACGTTTGAGGGCTAAAACTGATCTCAGCACGCTTTCGGGCTGCACTGTAAGAACACGCTATTCCCAACTTGCCATTACGTGGATGTGCGCTGGCGGTCCGGTCTGGCTGGCCTCGAGCGCCGGCCGGGCGCGGCCAGCCTGGCCACGGCCGATTGCCCCTCCCTGCTCCTCCCCTCCCCCCACTCCGGTAATGGCGGAGCTCGTGCGGCCAATGGTTTAGGCCCATCCGCTGATGACCGGTCTGGGGAGATGGGCGATTCCCGTTGCTGAGAGGCGGGAACGTGCTGATGACTGAGCTCGAGAGGTGGATACTCGTCGCTGGCTGTTCTCGGTAGGTGGGGACTGATCACTGGCGGTTTTCGGGAGGCGAAGACTCGTCGCTGGCTGTTCTCGATAGGTGGGGACTCATCGCTGGCTGTTCTCAGTAGGTGGGGACTGATCGCTGGGTGTTCTCGGGAGGTGGGTACCCGCCCTTGGCTGTTCTCGGGAGGTGGAGACTGATCGCTGGCGGTTTTCGGGAGGCGAAGACTCGTCGCTGGCTGTTCTCGGGAGGTGGAGACTCGTCACTAGCGGTTTTCAGGACGTGCAGACTCGTCGCTGGCGATTCTCAAGACGCGGAGGCCTGCTGGTGCTGTCTCAAGACGTGGAGGCCTGCTGGTGCTGTCTCAAGACGTGGAGGCCTGCTGGTGCTGTCTCAAGACGTGGAGGCCTGATGGCCTGCTGGTGCTGATATAAAACCAACCGTAGACAAGCGCCAATACGGAGATGTGAAAGGAGCCTCAGCCCGACACTACCTAATTAGGTTGTTGCATGATTTGCTGACGGAGTTAGACGAAACGGACACATTATTTTCTGTGGTTATGTGCGATTTTAAGAAGGGGATTGACCCCATTGATCACTCAACGGTTATCCAGAGCATGCTTGCAATGAGACTTGGCTCCGGGTTTGCAAAGTGGCTATGTTCATTCTTGCAGGACCGACAGCAGCGGGTCAAGATGCCAGATGGAACCATGAGTCGTTAGAGGACGATAACATGTGGCACTCCATAGGGCACCCTAGTTGGCCCGGTTGCTCTCCTGGCAATGGTTAACGGCGCCGCTGCTGATACTGAGAACCGACTGAAGTATGTAGATGATCTTCCATATACCATGCGTGCCGAATTGACCAAGTAGATCGGCACTGCCAGTTGCAAAAGCACCTTAACAAGATAAGTGATTGGGTAACAGTGAGCAAGATGACATTAAACACTGACTGGTGTCAAGTCATGCATTTTTAACAGCCAAAAACACATTAGCACTACCGGACATCATGATTCGAGAAAAAAGCCTGCCAACTGCCACTAAAACTAAGCTCTCACGTGTAGCAATATCAAATGGCATGCCGTTGCAAGCACATATAGATGAGATTGTAACCCAAGCATCAAAAGCTCTACATATGCTCTACATAATGAAGAAGTACCATCCACCACAGGAACAGCTTTTTCGGGTGTTTGTCACTTGCATCCGGTCATTGCTAGAATATTGTGCACGGGTTTTTCATGCGGAACTCGCTGCCAAGCAGACGCAACATTTTGAGAAAGTGCAGAAGAAAACCCTGAAAATGATTTTCGGCCGTACGGAGACTCGCCTATCTGGCAACGCTTGGGCATGGAAACCTTCGCTGACTGCAGAGAAAAACTGTGCCTGGGGCTAGGAAAACAAATGCAAGCGTCTCCCATACATAAAGATCTGCTTCCCACGCAGCGTCAATCTTCGACAGAAATACCCGGCGCGCAAGTAGGCTCCAAGCGTTTTGCTGTGGTATGCGACTACGCAAATGAAGTATTCTGCATATAACCCCTCTCATTAACATATATATATATATATATATATATATATATATATATATATATATATATATATATATATATATGTTATCTACTAAGTACTATCCCACTTTATACGTACATTGTGCGCATGTGCTATATGAGTTGATACTCGAAGCCATGCTTTTCTCAATAAACCGTCTCTCTCTCTCTCTCTCTCTCTCCATCTCATCTCTCGTCTCTCTCTCTCTCTCTCTCTCTCTCTCTCTCTCTCTCTCTCTCTCTCTCTCTCTCTCTCTCTCTCTCTCTCTCTCTCTCTCTCTCTCCTCTCTCTCTCTCTCTCTCTCTCTCTCTCTCTCTCTCTCTCTCTCTCTCTCTCTCTCTCTCTCTCTCTTCTCTCTCTCTCCTCTCTCTCTCTCTCTCTCTCTCTCCTCTCTCTCTCTCTCTCTCTCTCTCTCTCTCTCTTCTCCTCTCTCTCTCTCTCTCTCTCTCTCTCTCTCTCTACTCTCTTCTCTCTCTCGCTCTCTCTCTCTCCTCTCTCTCTCTCTCTCTCTCTCTCTCTCTCTCTCTCTCTCTCTCTCTCTCTCTCTCTCTCTCTCTCTCTCTCTCTCTCTCTCTCTCTCTCTCTCTCTCTCTCTCTCTCTCTCTCTCTCTCTCTCTATCTCTCTCTCTCTCTCTCTCTCTCTCCTCTCTTCTCTCTCTCTCTCTCTCTCTCTCTCTCTCTCTCTCTCTCTCTCTCTCTCTCTCTTTCCCTCTCTCTAGGAATTGGAAACCTGTTGGGAACTGCTGTTCTTGAGGGCTGATCTCAGAAGTCTGACACCGGTTAGTGTCAGTTCTCGAAGGTCGGGGAACCATCACTGACTGTTTTGTAGAGGTGCATCCTCGCTGATTACTGTTTTTGAAAGGTGCAGACGCCCAGGTAATTGTGCTCGAGTTTCAGCTGCTGTTTTCGGTGATGGGGAATCGATGGCAGCTTCCTCCTTTAACTGGGCACATCTCGGGATATTTCGCCAGCCGAGGTCGTTTGGTATGGGTATAAGGCGATTAATAATAAAGCCCTGCTCTTTGAGGGTCTAATCGTTGAATCAGAACAACCGGAACGGCAATCTTTTGATGTCGGCGATCAAGCTTATTTAGGAATCGTTTAGTTAACATCCGTCATACGACTCATGCTACTGCATGCAGAGCAAAATGTCTTGGAAATCACCGAATTTAACGAACAATGTGAGGACCTCTAACAAATATTGTGTACATGTGAAAGATTGCGCTGTTATGGCTCAGAGTCATGTCATGATGATAGCGTTTCGATTCCGGGTAAGCCTAAGTCA